AATACAACCTTGTTGCACACCTTTCTTAATTTTAAACCATTCATTGTTCCCATGTTCTGTTCGAACAACTGCCTCTTGGTCTAGGTACAGATGCCTCATGAGCACAATGAACTGTTCCGAAATACTCACACTTTACAATGTTGTCCTTAGCTTGTCATGATCCACACAATCGAAAGACTTTGCATAGTCGATAAAGCACAGGTAAACATCTTTCTGATGTTCTCTACTTTCAGCCAAGATCCATTGGATATCAGCAATGATATACATCATCCCACGGCCTCTTCTGAATCCGGCTTGAACCTCTGGAAGTTCTCTGTCAATGTATGCTTGTATCCGTTTCTGTATTACCTTTAGTAAAACTTTACTCGCATGGGCTAGCAAAGAGATTGTCCGATGATTTCCGCATTCAGTTGGGTCACCTCTCTTTGGAATGGGCACAAATATGGATTTCTCCCAATCAGTCTGCCAGATAGTTGTCTTCCAAATTTCTTGGCTGAGATTAGTGAGTGCCTCCTGTGCCGCCTCATATTAATAGGCAGAACATAACAGGGTAATTGAGTTAATCTTTAGGGAATGTGTTAGGTTCTTAAGAAGAGGACTAGGGAAAGGACTACAATGGGTGTGCTGAAGATCTATTTCAAATTTACCATAATTCTGTAACAGGCTGCTCTACTATGGCAAAATCTCCCCAAGATTTCCTGCTGCTGGTACGAGAAACAGTTGCTGTTAGCATGGTGTACAACCTAAATGCAACAGAATGCAGGTTTGCCTGAACTAGACCATGGTCATAATCTTGGGATGTTTATGGCTACTGTTGAGACTACTGTGTATTTTTTAACCTAATAGGCTCACCTTGATCACTGTGTTGTTTTTATTTGTGCCTTCAAGTCAGTTCTGACACATAGTAACCCTGAATAATGTTTCAGAGGAGCTGCTGGTGTAATTGAACTGCAAATTTGGAGTTAGCAATATAGCACTTATCCGACAGTGCCACACCATGATTCCACTATAGGGGACAATATTCTATTTTGATCCATAAAACTCACTCCTCTGTCAAAAGGTGAAGAAAGGGATATACAGTTACTGTACCAAAAAGAACTGGTTGATATTCAACCATTTCAAGAGGCACCATGGTATTGAACAAAGAAGGCTAAGCTGCACTGAAGACATTGACAAAAAACAAGACTCCAGGAATTGATGGAATACTAATGGAAATGTTGGAAGAAACTAATGCTGTCCTGGAGGAGCTAACTGGTCTTTTCCATGAAATTTTAATTGGAAGAGATCCATATTTTTGCCCATTACAAAGAAGGGTGAGCCTATGGAATGAGGAAAACATCGAACAATAATATTAATGTCACAGGCAAATAAAATTTTACTGAAGATAATTCAAAATCAGTTGAAGCAGTACATCAGAAGGGAGCTTCCAGAAATTTAAACTGAATTAAGAAGAGGATGTGGAACTAGGAACAGCATGGCTAATGGATCTTGGCTGAAAGCAGAGAATAATAGAATGGTATTTACTTGTGCTTTATTAACTATCCAAAGGCTTTCAACTGTATAGATCATAACAAATTATGGATAGAATTGTGAGGAATGGGATTTCCAGAACATCTAATTATGCTCATGAAGAATCTGTAAATAGACCAAGAGGCAGGCCTGTAAACAGAAAAAGGCTTTAAAATCAAGAAAGGTGTGTGCCAGGGCTGTGTCCTTTCACCATACTAATTAGTCTGTATGATGAGCAAATAATTCAAGAAGCTGGATTATATGAAGAACATGGCATCAGAATGGAGGAAGACTCATTAGCAACCTGCAGTATGCAGATGACACAACCTTGCTTGTTAGAATTTAAGAGGACTTGAAATACTTACTGATGAAGGTCAAGGACTAAAATCTTCAGTATGGATTGCAACTCAATGTAAATAAAATTAAAATCCTCACAACTGAACCAATAAATAACATAATAAATAGATAAACAATTGAAGGTGTCAAAAACTTCATTTTGTTTGGATTCACAATAAAGCTCATGGAAACAGCAGTCAAGAGATAAAATGATACTTTGCATTAGGCAAATATGCTGCAAAAGATCTCTTTAAAGTGTTAAAGAGCAAAGATGTCACTGAGGACTGAGGTGTGTATGATTTTCCAGTTGCTTCATATGTGTATGTGAAAGTTGGGACAATGAATTAGGAAGATTGTGACAGGATCATTGCATTTGCATTATTGTGTTGGAGAAGAATTTTGAAAATACCATGAACTTCCAGAAGTACAGACAAATAAATCAATCTGTTTTTGGGGAAGGTACAGCCAAAATTCTCCTTAGAAGTGAAAATAGCAAGACTTTGTCTCTGCTACTTTGGACACATTGTTAGGAGGGACCAATCTCTAAAGAAGGACATCATGCTTAGTAAAGTGGAGGGTCAGCAAAAAAAGTAATCAAAATGATTAACACATTGGCAGTAACAATGGGCTCAAGCCTACCAATTGTGAAAATGGTACAGAAGCAGACAGAACATCGTATTGTTGTACATGGGTCTCTATGATCCGGAACCTACTAGAGGGTACTTTACAATAACAATAATAGCAACAAGCTTTGGAAGTGGATCACTAGACTTTTCTTGCTAGTCTGTCTTAGTCTGGAAAGTCCACTGAAACTCCAAAAATGTTTCTAGTATTTGTAACAGTGGTAGCATGATCTCCAGCATCAGAGCAATATGCAAGCAATTACATTATGACAAACTGACAAATTAGTGGGCATGTAGGGAAGTAGAGCTCCAATATTCTCATTTTCTTTGTTGTCTTGATTTTTTTTTTTTTTTT